CAATCGCAGCGCCGCGCGTCACTGAGGGCGGGCGCGTTCTCAGCGCTGATTGGCTGGCGGGGCCCGGCGCGCGCGACGCCCCGCCCCTTTTGCACCGTCGCCTTCTCCCCCCTCCTCCCGTCAGTGTGAGGGGAAGGTGGGGGGCGCTGTGGGCAATGCGCAGTTCTGCGGTGTAAGAAGGAATAAAGAGAGCTCAAAATCGTTAAAAGTAGTTCGTGGCGTTGTCTCTTAGCAGCGAGTTAGTTGTAGACGTGCTCTGGAGGAGGAAGAAGAGGAGGAGCAGGCGGAGTCTTCTCGTCCCCGGCGCCACGACTCGGCTTTTCTGGGAATCGCAGAATGGTTTTGGTTAAACGGGACTTAAAAGATCCGCCCCCTGCCATGGGCAGGACACCTTCTACTATTCCAGGGTGTTCCCAGCCCCAATGTCCAGCCTGGCCTTGGGCACTGCCAGGGATCCAGGGGCAGCCCCAGCTGCTCTGGGAAACATTTTACAATGCCTCAGCACCCTCACTTAAATAATTCCTCCTTAACATCCCATCTAACCCTACTTTCTGTCAGTTTGAAGCCATTCCCTGGCTCCTGGCCCTGCAGCCCTTGGCAATTGTCTCTCTCCAGCTTTCCTGGGGCTCCTTCAGGCCCTGCAAGGCCACCCTGAGCTCAGCCCAAAGCTTCTCCTGGCCAGGCTGAACAATGGCAGCTGGGCCAGCCTTTGCTGCCAGCAGAGCTGCTCCATCCCTCTGCTCATCCTGGAGCCTCCTCTGGGCTCTCTCCAGCAGCTCCAGCTGCTCCCTGGGCTGGGCCCCAGGGCTGGGGGTGGTCTCCCTGCAGGTGGGGTCTCACCTGAGCAGGGCACAGGGACAGAATTCCCTCCTCACCTGCTGCTCCCACCAACTGTGATGGAGCCCAGGATAAATCTTCTGCTTCTCCAAATCTCAAACTATCCTGATGGACAACAGGGAAGGATCTCATCTTCCTCAGGAATGACTTTGCATTGCTATTGCTACTTTACCTTTTTCCCGGATTGATGGGGTCCTAAAGGCAGAGCATTCCCTTTTGTATCCCACACAGAACCAGGAGAAGATACCTGTCCCCAGGTCCCATTCCTGAAGCCACCAAAGCCACAAATGGGTGCATTTAATTTCAGCTGGGTGTTGGATTCACCAAATGAGAAAGGGCTGAACGCTGACTGGACCAGAGTGAAGAACAGCCTGGCAAGGAATAAAACTGTTGGATTAACATGTGCCGTGTGTGCTGCAAACACAAATTGCTCCTTCAGAACTCACACCAGACAGCAAGTTACCCTTTAATCCTCCAGTATATCTATGCACAAAAGTTATCAAATACTTTCTGAATTTTATAGGGCAAGTAATCACAACACAGCTCTGGGAAAGAAAGGTGTGCATCAGTCTGATCCTAGCAGATAATCAGTGTGTGAGTGAAAAGAGGACATAGAACAAAGATGCAAAATGCAAGGCTACAAAAAAGAAGCCAACACCTACATTGACAGACACCTGGCAGTTGTTTCCTGAACAGGAAGCCACAACCTTTTTTTATTTTTCTGAACTCAAGGTCTTGTCCTGCACTTGGGAATTTAGTGCAATAGGTATCCTAAAATAACAGTTTTATCCCTATGTGGATGTCTAGCAATAGCATGCTGCCTCTGCAGATAAACAAGGAACAAATTGGCTCTGTCCTCACATTTCAAGTGAAAGGAGGGGAGGAAATGGTTTTAAGTTGTGCCAGGGGATGTTCAGGAAAAGTTTTTTTTCTGTGGAAGAGCGGTCAGGCCTTGGGATGAGCTGCCCAGGGAGGTTTGGGGTCCCTGTCCTTGGGATTGTTTAGTAGGAGTCTGGGTATGGCCCCCAGGGACTGGGTTTGGGGTGGTGCTGCTGGGGCTGGATGATTAATCCTAAAGGGCTCTTCCAGCCCTGAGGATTCTGTGGTTCTGTGATTGTCCAACCTTGAACATCTCCAGGAATGGGATAATATTTCCACAACTCACAGCACAAACAGATTACAGTTTCAGTTGTAAGGCCGAATATTTTCCGTAATTCTTCATCTCAGGCTTCAGAAGCACCAATCTTGTGCTGCTGCCATATCCTACCCTCCACAGAGAGGAGCAAATCTGCAGTGTTCCTCACCTGGCACCTCACACTGCTCCTCTGTGTGACTTCACCTCGTGCAGGAAGTCCAAACACTTAATCGGGCGCATCAAAAGAAAGAAAACAACCTCCAAAGCAAGCTCTCAACTCTGGAAATCACTTTTCCCTGGGTTAGTTCAACAGCACATGCACTGCTGACCCCAGGGTGTGCACAAAGCTGAGCTGTTTTTGTAACCTTTCCATGGACAGGAACGTGCTTGGCTTCAAATCCTGCACTGCCATCGAATGCAGCCAGCTCCACAATGAGCATTTTTTGATTTTTGAGATTCCCCTACCCTGGAAAAGTTTATGAGGAAATGAGGAAACTGAATCAAAGCCTCACTATGCAAGGGAATTTAAAGCAGAACAGGCAAAACCAGTCCCTGTTTCAACACAAGCTCCCACTTATGTTGGCATAAAATTAATTTAGAGCTGTAAAGTTGCTGGAGGTTCTTCACTTTCTGTTATAGTGGAACTTGGACTTAATCATGACAAGCTTTGACTAAAAAGTTCAGAATTTTAGATTGGGAAAACATTCTGTTGTCATTATTTTTATTATTAAACCGAAGCCTTGCATGCACCAGGGAATTTACTAAAACAGATTTTCTAAACTAAAATAACCATATCAGTCAGCTCCTCTTTAGAGGAGGGTGGAAGGAAGCCTTGGGAAAAACAGGGAGTAATATCAGCTCTCAAACCTCCCAGCTCTGTGTAACCTTGGAGTAGCTGAGCTTCTGTTTTTGACTTGAAGGGAATATTTTGAGACTGGCCTTGCTGTGCTTTGTGACCAGCTGGTTCCTTCTCCTTCTGCTCCTTAAAAGCTTTTCCAAGGATTTGTCTGGGAGGAGCTTTGTCTGCTATCAGCATCTGTGGTTTTTGGTTTACTGTCAGATATTATTCAAAACTATAAATGCTGTAGAGGTGTCCAAGTTCCCCAAATATACCGATTTATATTCTTGCAAATGCACTATTGCCTATATGACAAAAACTGCATAAAAGCCATTTCTCACAAAGATAAAAACCTCTTTTAATTAACACAAAATGATTAGCACAGGGGTGAATTTTCTGTAGAAGTTGAATCTGTCAAAGTTTTTTCCAGGTAATGTCAGAGATCTGAACAATTCCCCTGATGTCTTGGAAAACTTTTCTGATTCTGTGCTCTTCACCAAATATCAAAAATTAAACACCTTACATTAAAATCAAGTGTACTGCAAAAAGGAACCTGACTTTAATTAATGATTTCCACAAAAATGCCAGTTAAAGTTCTGTGGTTTGATTGATTTGTACTTTAATGTAATATTCACATTTTTTTCTCCATGTACCTATATTTAATTACATTGCAGCTTCATCACCAAAGTTGTAATTACAATAAATTTGTAATAAATTTGGTCTTACAGGGCTTTATCAAGAGATTTAATTGATAATAACTTTGCATCTTCTGGAGTGTTATATTTCAGCAGTTCAGGCTCTAGTCCTGCACTAACAGCCGTGTTGGCAGAGGAATAAATCAATTATCCTCACATCCAGATCTGATTGCAAGATCACAGGTATCAATTCTTCAATACAAACTTCCCTTTCAACTCTCAAGTAAAATCAAGACTAAATAAAACACAGCTGCTGAAATTAAATATGTGGAGGTCAGACTGTAATTTAGCAAGATATTTAATTACACTTTAGGTCACTTAAGAAGTTTGCCATTTTTCCTCAGGACCTGTGCTGTTATTTAACAAATATTTTAGATTTTTCATATTGTTCTCCATGTTCTTTGTTCTATTAATTTTACTGGTTTTGGTACAGAAATGTTCAAAGGGATTGAGACTCTGCAAGTATTTTTTATTTAGAACAGGGCAGTGTTTATTTGTTTACAACTTCACAGGTATCACAAGGTATTTCAACATGGGAGGGAGTAGATTTAGTCTGAAGGTGCCCAATTCACACTAAATAATATGGTCAGTAAATAAAACTATTTTTCCTTCTCTGGGAAGAAAGTTCACATTACAATTTAGATTTTTTTTTTAGGATGTGGATGAATTTTCCCAAGACATGCAAAAAGTGCATTTCCAGAGTGTATCTAAGAAAGAGCAAATTTTGATTCTACAATAATCATGAGAATTCTGTAAATTCACATTCAGTAAGACAGCACCAGAAAGATAAACTGGATATAAATGGGTGTTGTATCCCGTGGGATTTTCTAACCAAAAATTAACAAAACTGCTTTGTTTCCTTGGAATTGCTGTCCCTGGAACAGCCTCCAAGGTGAAAGCCTGTCTTACCTTTGAACTGCTTGGAAAATCCTCTCCTTAAGGACATTTCCCTGCTTTTGCCCTGTTTGTTTTAGGTGAGATCCTTGGGCAGTTCACCCAGAGGAAGGGCTCAGAGCCTCTCCCAGGTTTTGGAGCATCTTTTACCCTGTTTGTTTTAGGTGAGATCCTTGGGCAGTTCACCCAGAGGAGGGGCTCAGAGCACCCAAATCCATGGAGGGAGCAGCCAGGAGCCACTCCCGGGATTCCCAGCTGCTCCTGCCACGGCTGGGGCAGCACCTGGGCAGGTAAAGCAGGAACAGGGAGGCTTTTCCACCTTGGGAATCTCCAACTGTGAGTATGGGATTGTTCCATTGACTAAAAACCTGAAAACATTTGTCAACTTCAGGAGTAAAGGGAAAAATATATTTCTGAAAGTGTTCCTCGTTATTTTGTTTTGCTGAATCTTCCTCCTTTGAAGTCAGTACTTCAGAACTAAAATTAAGATTGTGATAACCTTATTATTGTCATTTTTATGTTTATTTGAAGGCAATTTTCCATTTCTCCTGCTGGATCTGTTGCAGAGCAACAGAGATGGAAAATCCTGGTGGAAAGAGCATCCAGAGTCGTGGTGACCCCACCAAAAAAAGGCAGCCATGAAACCCAGCACTCCATCTGCTCCCTTGGGCTAATGGGATCAGATTGTCCCCCTTGGATTGATGCTGGAGCTGCTGCCTCAAAAAAATCACCAGGCACACAGGGGATCTGTCAGAGAGGCAGGGAGAGGTAGTTTGGGGGTTTTCTGCAGAAAAAGATTTCAGTGTTATTTAAAGCATCTCGAGTTCTCTCGGAGCTGTGAGATCCCAAAGGGAAAAGAGCCCTTGGCGAAAAATGGGCCAGAGGGTGGCTGGGGTGTGGGGAGAAACCAAATACTGCCAGAAAAATCTGATTTACTAAATGAAAATGCTCTCAGGGATGCACGGGGTGGGATTTTGGGAGGTCTGTGCAGGGCCAGGAGTTGGATTCCATGATCCTGGTGGTCCCTCCCAGCTCAGGATATTCCATGATTCCATTGTATCCTGATTTTCCAGCAGCTCTGCCCTGTGGAGGCCCTGGATGCTCCCAGCAAGGGATGGGGAGGCCATGGAGAACCAACAAATGGTGAGAGCAAATTCCAGGGGAAATAATCCTTGTGGAAAAGCAGGAATTGAACATGGGAAGCCAGGCTTGCTCAGTTCCTCATTTTTTCTTTCAAGCATTTCTTTAGAGTTGGAAAACTTGATTTAAATTAGTGCTCTGTGCATGGTGAGGGTTGAAAGTATCTCTAATTTTTTGTTAGAGATAGAATTATTATAAGCTCTTCTTAATATATCATTAATATATTTAATTTAGTAATAATAATGTAATAATAATTTATATTACTAATATTATATCAAGAGCTGCAGAAACAACTGCTTACTCCACACAACCCTCATTTTATCAGCACTTTATATTTGCTTAATTATGTATATATATATATAAAAGTATAACCTCAGTTTGAAATCTCCAGGCATAGTCTGGATGTGATATTTTGTATACAGGCAGAGTTTAAGTGAAAATGACTTTTAAAAACATGTTTTCATGTGCACAATTTTATTTCTTGGGTGTTTTGGGAGGGATATTGCTATAAGTAAACCACTGAGGAAATCAACAGAAAACTGAATTTTAAAGTAACTCTTCCTGGCTTTGACATGTGATTTTCAGTTTTACTTGCTTGGGTGGGAAGGCTGAAAGAACAAAAATAGAGATTGAAGCATGATCAACAAAGGTCCTGAGGTTTTATTTTTATGAGAACAGACCCACAGTGATGATGTCAAGAATTCCACTTAGAGGAAAAAGCAAACAAAGCAACATCAGTGTGGGATTCTCCAGCTACCTAAAGAAAATAAGTGAAATCTTCATTTTGAGTCCATTCTAATTAATAAATGTGTCTCTTTCCAGCCAGAATTGGATGGTCAAGTGATAAACTGTGCATCAAAAGGAGCTCTGGGGTTCCAGCATCCAGTGAGGCGAGTTCAATCCTGTCATCTGAGACAGGAAAAGTGACAAAAACAAACAAAAAAAAAAAGGTGAAACTCCTTCCTTCTCATGAGAAGGATCAGTTTGTCCCTGGAAAATCTCATTTTAGTAACAATTTAATTACTCACCAAACTGCACAGATTTTTATCCCTCAGCAAAGATGCCCAGGCTGAACAGAGCCTGAAAAAGATGAAAATAAGAAAAAGTAATTTTAAAAACTCAAATTTTCACCTCACCTAATTTATATATTTACATTTATTGCTCCCTAAGCCCAAATTAATGGGAACAGCTGCTAATGAAGTGGGATTGGTACAGATTTGAGGTTTCTTTAATTTGCTCTTGAGTAAAAGCTGAACTCCAGGTAAAGCTTTTGAAGGTTAGAGGGCTCATAAGGGTTTTCACCAATGTTTGAAGTCTTTAATTAGGGAACTGCTAATTGGGATTTTCCTTTAGAGGAGGAAAATCCATGGAGTATCCCTGTTCTTTACAAGCATTTGTTATAAAAGCTGTGGCATCTGAAATTCTGTGTGACCTTAATTAAAGTCAGATTTCACTGGGAATTGGCCAAGGAGAAATGAAGATTTTAATACAAAACATGATTTTAATACAAAACAATGTGGATTTGGAAATAAATAAATCAGTCTACACCTCCACCTGTAGACACAAAATCCACCAAAATCTACCTTTGTACCTCAGGCCACCAACCCCAACCTAACACTGATATCCTGATCCTAATTCTAGAATTAATTAATTTAAAAATAAGTTATTAAAACTTCAAGCTAGATTGGATGACCAAGTGTTGCATTGTTGAACTTTTTCTCTTAAAATGTGTTTCCTTCTTCTCAGGCTTTATTTGGCCAAATCCAAATCCCAGAAGTTTCTTGCTAACATTGGAGAGAAGGTTCTGGCCAGTTTTCCTGTACAAGCCACAATTCACTTCTACGATGATGATGCTGAGGAAGAGGAGGAAGAAGTGAGCCCTGAGAGACCCAGAATCCACTTGAAAAAATGAAGAATTTAAAAAAGAACTGTCAGGAATGGATGGACAAACATCTGACCAAAAAGAAATACAGCAGAGCTCAAAAAGAAACTATTTATAATTCTCTCTCCAACAAAAATGAGTCAAAGCACTGGAAAATGGGAGGAAATCCTTTTGTGTTTTGAGAGACTCTCAAATAAAACCCTGAAGATGAACAAAAGATTTAAATCAGGTTCCTTTCAGGAACACAGATAAAAAACATGGAGAACATTGTACTGAGTCATTATTTTAAACACTGAAGCCCTGAGAAAGTGAAAATTGCATTGATTATGAGGTTGAATAATGTAAAGTACAGCCCCAAAATAACCCAAAGGCTTGTAAACACACTGAAATTAGGCAAGGAATTATTTCAAATGCAGAGATTGCTGTTCCATGGGATTGATTTATTCTGCTAAAAATGCTGAATGCCCAGCTGGCCCCATCCACTCCCAGTACAACTCACAAGTTCTAAACAACATTTGTGATATTTTCTGGGGTTCTGCCATTCTCTTGTTATCAGATTTTCCCCTCTGTAAACTTTTGCCAGTCAGAAAATAATGTCAGTCTCGATTAAAAACCACAATTTAATTTAATGCCACATTAAAACTTACATTATGTGGCACCTGTTTGCCTTCCCCACAATGTTTTTTATGCTCAGAGAGTTTCTCAACACTTTCCTTGCTACCAGCACCTTTAAATACCTCAAGGATTAACTATTTGTTAATTTTTTTTTTAAATCTTTAATGTGCCTTAATCCAACCAAAACTGCCCTGGTTTCCCCAGAGACAAAGCAAATGCAGAATTGCAGATTTTTGACCTTTCCTGCACCTCTGGTGATTGTGAGATAAGGTTTTCAGAGAGTTTTCAGAACCCCTTCAAGTGTGTGGCAGCTCCTCCTCTCAAAGGAGGCAAACAAAGGGAGTGTCACACATTTTAGATCTGGAAAGATTCAGATTCCAAATGAATGAACCTATTAGAATGAAGGATTTTTCTGCAGATCTTCACTTGCCAACTCAACAGAGGATCATTAATTAAATTTACACCAGGAAACATCCTGTTATCTAGGGAATGTTGAATCTGTTGAACTTGAAACCCCAGAGAGACAAAGGAAAATTCAGCTTTTAGATTCATTTCCACATGTCCCCTTCCAAACACATGGCACTAAACCCCAGAAAACTTAAGGTATTTCATGAGATAGCCTAAAATAATTCCAGCTTCCTCATGTTATAAGTGAATATTATATTATTTGCTTTTCTCAAATATTATAATGGATGTTGTATGTATAAGGTTAGAAAATTTTGTTGTATTAATACAGTTAATTTTATTTCTGTTATCGATGAAACTTAGAAATAATGGTATAATACATACATATGTTAGGCTATAATATGATATTAAAGCACAAATTACTTTTGTTTATATAACCCAGGGACTGAAAAGACAATCAGAGACCTCCCTGCATTATTAAGATTATTTTGTCCTCCAAGCCCTCCAAGGGAAGGATTTATTGCACCCGGTATAGGAGGATATAAAACCCAGTGGTGCCAAGAAGATGGATCTGTTGGGAAGGGGGCAAGGTAAAAACCAAACAAAGGAACATCAAAAAACTTAAGAAGAATGTCTGAATATGTATGAGAATTTATGGCTATGTGCTGTTTTTAAGGGACAATCCTTTTTTAGTAAGGTGAATGCAGAAATACCCAGCCATATCTGTAAATTTTATTTTATTTTATCTCCTAATTGTCTTTCTATGAAACTTTCAAATTCTATATAAAAATATGTGAACCTCGTTTTTCACACTTATTATTTAATCTGCAGCAGAAACAAACAGAAAAGCATCCAGCATGATTTCACTGCTCTGTGATGACCCATTGCACACACAGAAAATGCACTGAGCTCCCTTCCCAGCTCATTAATAATTAAGAGAAGCCCCAAATTGAACCAGTGCAGCATCTCTGTCATTCAGCTGCAGGCAACTTTCAGCTCCCACTTCAGATTTTTTACCTCATCCACAATCCCACCCCAAAGTCAGAGTGACCTCAGAACCATCCATCATTTACAGGAAAAAGGTAACAAAGCATCTCCAAAATGAGTTTATGGTGAGTTTAGCACTTCAAAGGCAAGGCTGGAAGCAGATTAAATTCTTGACTCAGGTCTCTGTGCCACAAAACCCTTCCCTTGGGAATTCAACAGCTGCAACACTTCCAGTAAATGCTACTTTCATTTTCCATTTCCTAAAATGATGGAAACAAAAAGCAACTATTTTGTTCCCTGGTACAGGGATGCCTCCACAAAACCTCTACAATTTCAGATTCCTGACGTATGAAAAACCATCATTAAAGCTGATTTTCAAGAAGCCTCGAATTCAGCTTCCAGGAGCTTTTAAGAGAAGCTCTGAAGGATACAAATATCCAAGGGAAGTACATCCTTGCATGCCACTGAAGTGTGTATTTTCTAAATATGATGGATTAAAAGAACTACCACAGGATTTTTTTTTCTCCTAAATTACATTTACACAGGGAGAATGACAAACAGCAGCAGAACTGAGCAAAGGCAATATTTCCAACAGCAGCTTTTTAAGCTCCAGAGACAAAATCCACCCAATTCACTGAAGCATTTCCTATTTAATGTTATTTATTCTGCACTGGCTTCATCTATCAGCTGCTTTTTATCCATAGCACAGCATCCCAACAAAACTGACTTTGGCAACCCCTCTGTAAGGGAACTGGCAGAACAAAATGAAATCCTTCCAAAGCTTTCTCCTCAGAATACAGTTCAGTTCCTGAACAGAGAGATACAAAACCTCCCATTCATCCCAGCTGGGTGAAAGCTGACTGGAAATCCAACAGGAATTGAATCAAACATTTCAGTAACTCAGGCTCAAGTGCCCACAAGAAAGGCGATCAAAATACATTTACACAAGATCAGACAAATGTTTTCTTCCTAAAGCAGAAACATTTCATGATTTCTATCCACAAATGAAACTGAAGTTCCCAGAAACTTGTTGCATTTTTAATTTTTATAGACCCGCTAGCACAGATGTGTCCCAGGATGAACATTTAATATCAATAATAATATTACAGATTTCTATTTTATATCAGAGGGTCTTGCTCCTGTTCTCCCCCTGCCCAACCACAGTGGGTGTTTGAGATGCTCCAGTCGAGCTGACAGAATTCCTTATGCTCCAAGTAATTTTGGAGTGCTCTGGACAATGCTTTAGAGAACATCAATCTGCTTAACTCAAGGGAAATCATGGAATGGTTTGGGTTGGGAGGGACCTTAAAGCTCATCCAGAGGGCAGGGACATCTTCCACTATCCCAGACTTCTCCAAGCCCCAGTGTCCAGCCTGGCCTTGGGCACTGCCAGGGATCCAGGGGCAGCCCCAGCTGCTCTGGGAAAACATTTTCCAGTGCCTCAGCACCCTCACTGTAAGAATTTCTCCTTAACATCCCATCTAACCCTACTTTCTGTCAGTCTGAAGCCATTCCCTGGCTCCTGGCCCTGCAGCCCTTGGCAATTGTCTCTCTCCAGCTTTCCTGGGGCTCCTTCAGGCCCTGCAAGGCCACCCTGAGCTCAGCCCAAAGCTTCTCCTGGCCAGGCTGAACAATGGCAGCTGGGCCAGCCTTTGCTGCCAGCAGAGCTGCTCCATCCCTTGGAGCATCTTCACTGTCCATGTTTTCATCATCCTTCCCTTTTCATGCCAAGATGGAAAGAAGTCACCCAAATTTAACAGGCACAGCCCAATTCCATGGGATCCCAGGCAATGACCTCAGTTATTTGATGGTGACACATTCCCACACAATTCCCTTCCTATCCCCCCGGGGGGATCCTGCCCCACCAGATGATTTTCACAGCAAGATCTGTAAAATATCATCCATCCCCAACCAGCTCCAAACTGCAGGAGAACCCAAAAAAGTGCATTTAAATGCAAAACTGAAGTTTCACCCCTGCCTTTATTCCAGCAAGGACAGTGCAGTGGATTGAACTCCACCAGCAGTGCCAGCAGTAAGGCAGAAAGGTGAAAATCAGGGCAAATTTAGGGGTTTTTGCCTTTTATTTATTTAGTTTCCCCTCAGACTCTGAGAAGAATGGACACCTGATACCCAAGGATGTTTTGTAAAGAGAGGCACCACCGTTCAATCATGTGAGGGAATTTTTTTTCCTCAATACCTAAGGCAAAATTTATATAAATCTACAGAAAAAAAAAACCAACTCCTCTCCTCTTTGCAGAGCTGTGTATCTTCTTAATCACAGTCACAGGCAAGACTTAAAATACGATTTTTAACCCCCAAACCCCACATTACCTGGTTTTATTTTGCTCCCAGAGGCGATTTCTCAAGAGTCAAACGTGCCCAAGTTGAAGAAAAGGTCACCAGGGCGTCTTTGAAGCAGCAGTGAGAGAAAAGCAAAGATTGAGTTTCATCCCTGCGACTTTTCCTGGAACAAACAGCCCCCCTTGGCCTCCTCACTCTTGGTTCTCCCATAATTGTGGGGTCTACAGAGAAATTAAATTCATCACTGATCCCCCGAGGTTTAAATCCTCCAATTTGTGTTTTCTCAGGGCATTTTCCAGTAGTTTTCCTTGATCCTGAAGGGATTTGGGCATCCCTAAAAAGGGACTGAATTAATCCTTCCATCAAATGATCCCAAACCTGGCCTTCGCTCGTTGTCACTCCGGAATTCCAAATAAAGGGTGGAAAATACACAGGGAAAAAAAAAAATTATAGTCAATACCTCAATGTGTGGAATGGGATTGGAGGAGTGACAAAAGAGTAAACATATCTGTGTGTCTGCTGGGCATAAAATCATGATTTAATGGAAATGATATAATTAATGAAAATAATTAAAATTAATAAAAGGACAGCATCGTGGCAGGGTTGAGAAACAACAGCAAAATAAACCCCAAAACTTCATTAATGAGTTAAATTTTACCACACAAATCAATGCTGCTCTAATTTAGACACAAATTAATTTTTATACAATGCCCCCAGGTGCCAATACACCTAAAATTCACTATTTCCAAATGAAATATTCAAAACCATTTTTTCCTTCAATAAGGAGTTTTAATCCTACCTGGAATACCAAATATGGAGATTTTTCCTTCAAATTAGGCAGAAAACCCTACCAACTACAGATTTATATTTATATTTATATTTATATTTATATTTATATTTATATTTATATTTATATTTATATTTATATTTATATTTATATTTATATTTATATCAAAGTGATTGGTACCAGGTCTTAAAACTTTTCAGAGCAACTGATGATCATGGTGACAGATTTCAAAAGAATTGGCCTAAGATTTTTCACACAAATCCTCAAAAATTTATTTTCTTTTAATGAAATAATAACATTTTTACCTAAATTCTCTGCTGAAGTTGGTTACAGGCTTCATAAATTATTAATTCTATAATTAAGTATATTTAATTAATTAAAGATTAATTATATAATTATATCATTAATATAACTATTCACTGGGCTTAAAGAACATTGAGTCCTGGAGATAACTGCATTTGTGAAACTTGGGAGAAAGAAGATAAACAATAACAACAAAAAAAGTGAAATTCACTGTTTAAAAAACATCTGAACCACTTAAACTTGGGTTTTAACAGCATGGACCTGCCAGTTCCTGAATTTCCAGCTATTTTCTTGAACAGTATTCTTAAAAACAAATTTAAAAAAGTAATTTCAAGACTTGTTTCAGCAAATCTTCACAGCCCACCTTTACTTAATTTTTGGTAACTTGGTAAATCTGATATTTTTTGGGGGTGGGGGATCAATAGATTTGGCTGAATAAAGAATTGTGTGAAGGAAAATGGAGTGTTATATACCTTAACCCAGGAGAAATCTCCCAGAACCACAGGAAAATTATGAACATGGAGAAATCAACCACATTTTTCTAATATTTACAAAGGCAAATAATATATTTACAACACAAACACTTCCAATTAATACTTTAAAAAGATCCCCAAGCGTCTGACTGCACAAAACAAATTTTCTCTCCCTGAATTCCAAGAGAAATAGAATTAAACTCTGTCCAAAAGCTGCTTTTTTTTCCCTCTCAGAGGGGAAGTCCAAGCAGAAGGCTTCAAGTAACAGAACACTTTTAAACCTACTTTTTAAAATTCTTACAGAATAACCAGATAAATTATTGGGGCATAATTCTCACAGCAATTCAGAGTATTAAGGTCCATATTAATAATAATAAAAATAAAATTTAATATTTTTTCATATAAATTTAATTAAAAATTCACGGGTGGGGAAAAAAGCTGAAAGGATTTTTATTTTTATCTTGGAGAGGTTTTAACTGTCCCTCTTTAAGTTTTATTAATTCTCAGTTCACACAGACTTTAGTAACAACTATCTGCTATTGCAGATCCCTTTTTCAGGGAAGAAAAACATCCTGTTGACTTCACTGATGGGAATATCCCTCAGTGCTGGAATTGCCTCCTCTTGGAATTTCTTCTGCTGCTGCTTTTTTGCAAAGTTATCTACAAAAGATAAGGAGAACATTTCATGGCTTCCAGATCCTTTTCTCCCAAAAATATTATATATATCTAAATATTATATTTAGATTATAATCATATAATGCAACACTACAAATTTAGCTACTTTAAAGGATGTTGAAAACCCCATCAGGACTTCCAAGAACTCAAATATTTAAAGGCTTAAAAGTTGGTGTTTATTCTCTACAGATTTCCAGAATTCTCAGTGAAGGATCAAACTTTTAAATAAGCAGTAAAATTACCTGTGATGGTGTGAGTGTAGTTGAGTGGAGCTGTGCTCATCATGTTAATCCCAAAAAGCAAAATATAACCAATTCCCACAGCCACCAGGAGATAAACTGGCAGAGCAACTGCCCAGTACCTGAGAAAAAAGGATTTTAAATTTTACATTTAGTAACAAATGCTTAATAATGAATGGGTTTTAATGTTTGGTATCGTATCTGTGATGAATTTCCCCAAGAGGAAAAGAAACAACACCTCTGATTATGGATCCTGACTCCACTGGAGCTACTGATAACCAGATAAATTCCTTAAAAAAAGGTGATTATTTTTCAATTATGGCCTAAAGTTTACTGCATTTCCACCAGCAAACTTCCTGAAAGCAAAATGCCAAATTTATCTTAAACATCCCAATATTATTTATTTCATGGCACAACGAAACATTTTCACCACAGCTCCACAAGAAAAAAGCTTCAGAAACATGAAAGCCCTTTATCATCAGGGAAAAATGGATTTAGTGCAAGGCCATTATTTAAAAAGAAAAAAAGAGTTTTTTTATTTGACTATAATTAAAATTAAAGAGTTTAATTGGCTGAACTTACTTTTGAGGCCAGTATGTCAGTCCCAGGGAGAACAGCCAAGTCTCAGGAATGTAAGCCCAGATCAGGTACAAAACTGCACAACAAAATTAAAAATTAAATACAAAATTAAAAATTAATAACAAAATTAAAAAGTCACAGTAAGACTGGCGGTGTTTTAGACTTCCTAAATTATATTTTAACCAAATAAATTTTTACTTTAACCAAAATAACTCTCCCAAAAGATTGCAGAATTTGCCTCTCAGAAATCCTGACCAGAACCTGCTTACACAGGATCAATTTTGTATTTAATATTTAATTTCTGATTTCCTATGCAGACAAGAATTTATTCCGAGTTAAACTACAGGACAATAAAAGAAAAAAAAAAAAAAGAACAACAAAACCACCAAACACCTCAATAAAAAGAAACCAGAGGAATCTGAAGACTGATAATATTAAAGCAAAATAAAAATCTCATTCTGGTCATTTAACGGGAAGAAAAAACGAGTGGAATTGCAGTGTTTGGGTGGAACTATAATGAAAAATTATTGCGAATTGTTCCTGGCAGAGGAGCTGAACCCACCTGCCCCTCATTTCTCGGTGCCCGAGGGTGTCAGGGACCCTCAGCAGGACCCTGCACCTCCTCCTGTGGGGAAAAAATGTTTCCTACCCTCTGCAACCTGCGATGGATCCCCAGGGAAATGAAGAACCCATCCCAGCAGCAGGGAAAGCCTGATGGATCCCCAAACATTTCCCACTGCTGTTGAACGATTGAGTTAAGTTAATTTTTTCTTTATTTATTATTTTTCGGTATTTGGGTGGGGAAGGCAGCACCTGCGGCTCTCAGTGAACGTGAGGAGAACATTCTGAAGAAGCGATGGAAAAGGGGAAGGCAGCAAAGCAGCGCTGCGGGGTGATGGATCCAGCCCCGGGATACTCACTGAAGCCAAACCACGAGCCCAAAAAAAGCGCAAATCCATAGATTGCCCTTTCTGGCAGCGGGGCCGGAGAGTTCTCCACCATCCTCGGCTCTTCCCCTTTAACTCGGCGGGGAGGGCGGAGAACGGGATCCGAGGGGATCGGAGATTTCCCGGGAAGCTCCTCCCTCCCTCACCCCCCCGCCGGGCTCTGCCCCTTCGCTCTCCAGAGCTGGGACAGCAGGAGGAGGAGGAGGAGGAGGAGGAGGAGGAAGAAGGGGAGGAAGGCTCTCCCTACCCCCGCT